ACTGCTGCGCCTGTGCTGCAGAATGACTCCCAGCGCCCCGACAAAGCGCAGCTTCGTCTCCCTGCCGCTCCTCAGTGCTCGATGAAATGCGTTCAGCCCATACCTGCCCCAACTTCTTGTGTGCGTTGCCCCCCGGGTGTCCCTGGCCGGTCCCCCACCGTTGAAGAACTTCAAGCCGCAGCTACGACGGTTGTCACCGCGCATTCACGCGAAGAGGATGTTGCCGGCTGGAAACTTCCTTCCAACATTGCCGCAGCTGCTGCTAAACAAAGGAAGGAAAATGTCTCAGCTTCCACCGCTGAAACTTGTGTTGCGGGCGGCCCAAAGGACCCGCCGGCACCTTGCGACTCCGGACTGCCTTCCGCTGCCGCTGCTGCCGCTTCGTGTTCACACGCCGGAGTTGGTGCTCCTCCTCTTTCCGGCAATGAACGGTGCCCTACGCCTTCTGGCCGTGTTGCGCAGCCCAACCCCAGCTCTCCGGCCTTTTCCCACTTGAGCGGCGGCGGTGCCGGTGTTGTTGTTGACGGGGTTCCCGGCGCGGCACCAGCGGGGCCAAATCCAACGTCCCTGCGCCCAGACGCCGGACATCCGTCGCGTGAAGAGGCGGCGAGCAAAGGGGATGCGGGCATGACGGCTGGGCGTGGGAGCAACGCGGATGCAGTTGAGCCAGGCGGTGTGCCGCACACCGGTGTCCCCATCAGCAGCGCAGACCGACGCGGTGAAGGCGGGGGCGCACCTGATGCCGCTGCAGGAACAGTTCCCTCTGCGCAAACGAGCAGCGTGGGCTCTGCTGGGAACAAGGCGACGACAGCGGAGGAGGCGGCTCCCGTCTCTCAGGGGCAAAGCGGTGTGCCGTCGGCGGATGCAGCCGCTCCCGCTGCCCCCGCGCAAAAGGGGAGCCGCACAGAAGCAACGGACGCAGCGGGCGCTACCGTTCACGGCGGTGCGGCAAAGCAGAGCGCAGATCGGAGCGGTGCCGCCGCAGACGCCGCGCCCACCGACGAGACGCCAAACGCTGCCGCCAAGGAAAGTGGCGCAGGCCCCCAAACTGCGGCGGAAGAGGACGGCGGCCACGAGGCGCCCAGCAACGCCGCCACGGCACCCACGGCTCCGACGCCTGGGTGGCCAGGCAGCCCGCCAACACGCGACGCTGCACCGCACTTAAGCAACAACTCTACCACCTTCAGGAACACTACAGGGCCGTACAAGATGAACACGGAGAGCGACGGCGCTGTGCGTGGGTGCTTGCCTCGGCTGCTGCTGCTTGCCCTGCTGGGGATGTGGGGCACGACGGCTCTATGCTGAAGGCAATAGAGGGAGAGTAGATTTGTTACTCCTCGTGGAGAGTGTGCGCCGCAAACCCATGCGGCCCTCTTCGTTTATATATCCTGTTTTGTTTTCATTCTTTTGCCTAATCCCCTCCTTCTTGCTTTTTTGGGCTTTGCTGGAATAACCAACACCCTGTGGGCGCTTTTTTTCTTTTCATTCGTTTCTCTGAAGATCACTTGCTATACGCCCTGCCATTGGCAGCGCACACTTATCCCTCTCTTTTTTTCTGCTGCCACGAACACACACACGCACACACACAGGCGCTGCGTGCCGCATTGCTGTGCGCCGCAGGGGTTTTGACGCAGCTGAAGTGTTGGAGTGCGGGCCGAACGCCGCATGAAATGGGCGAAGGATGTGTGGGCTCCTGCAGCATGGGCGATGTTTTTTCTTCGTGCAGGTGTTAAAATAAACATGCATCTCTCACGGTCCTCTTGTGCTGCTGGACATGTGAGGTGAAGGAACACCACCTGCCGAAGTGAGTTCGTTTTATATATTTTGCCTTTTGGGGTCCTGCGGGGATGACTCACATCTCTTCTCCGTCTCTTCTTTTCTTTTCTTTTGCGGTCCTGGGCATGCTCGCCGCTGCCGTGGCTCCAGCGCCGCTTCCGCC